CGCTGGCAGGGCGCGTTAAGGAAAAAAGAAGTGATTTTGAGTACGCTGTCAAGACAGTTGCTAACTGTCTCTCCCCGACCATTAAAAATTATCCTTCACGATGAAATGATGCACGTCGCTTCGTTTGCACGGTGTTGGACGCCCTTGGCTTGCTGCTGTGGGTACTGCGCTAACGGTCTGCCCGTCCCGGATGCGGGTTAGCCCGGCCGAATAGACGGAGCCGAGCAGTGTCGGGCAGAGCGGGTAACAGGATCGGATGCGGCGAATCATGGACTGTTGGATCAGTGCCGGAAAGCGCCGCAAACGTCTACCGGTACGAGGCTTGGAACAAGTGTTGGAATTTCACTATAACTGTGGCATTAATGCCTTTCAGTTAGTCGAAAGTATCATGGCGTTTCTGTCTGGCTTTTCACATTGCTATTGTATCTGACGTAGATATAAACATACTGCCAGTGCGAGATCTTTTGCAGCTGTTCCTTCTTAACGCTGCAATCCTTCTGCAACATATCTGCTCAGCATGGGACCTAATGAAATCTGGTCTGCCTGTGATTTTGGAGGGACATGTGTACTGCTGACCGACAGGCTGTGCATGCTGACCGTCGACATTTACCCTACCGAGAGTGGCGCAAAAGGTTGACATGTGTCATTTCATGCACTTTAACGCGAATGTCCGCTCAGACAAATCGTCTGTTCAAGCCCGAAAGCAGGCAGTAGAAAAGGCGGAGAGCAACTTTCGTCGCGTGGGTAGCGCGCAGCAACGCCATCACATTTTTGAGAGTGATGTCCTTCAGTGCACTGAATGATAATGCACTTGATGTTACGCTGAGTGATAATGCACTGAATCGTAATCCACTGAATGATCATACGCTGAATGCTCACCCACTGAATACAAGTACACCGAATGATAGTGCACTGATTGACACTACATTTTGCCCACAGATGCCATCGAGAATGAATTCGTGGACGTCCCAGCGGTAGCCGGGCAGTCAGCGCCCTGTCATGTCATCCCGGCGAGCAGGGCCTACTGGGACGCGACCGGTGGGGGGAGGGGGGGGGGCAGACCATCGCAGGACCGACCGTGAAAGGTCAAAAGGCTTGTTGCATGCTTAATATCGAGCCTGGGGAGCGCGACACGGCTAGGGATAAAAGAAACGCTTCACAGTTGGAAATATTGAAGCAAGTAATAGATACCATGAAATAAGCTCACTTTTAAAAGACGGCTTTAGACAACACAACTTCTCCGATGAGTAAATATGCCCCTCAATACGTCATTGCTTGATTACTTCGTTGTACTTTCCACAAAATTGCTTGAGAGCCAATCGACAGCCGTGATATATGGAAATCGTGCTCACGAACGCTAGATATGAACGACCCGACAATTATATTTTCTTAGCCTTGATCGCCGCATGGCCGATGGAATGGCAAGATTTGAATGGCGTTACGGCGTCATGATGTCTGGGTGACCTTAAAATAGACTGCCTGAAATGTTCTCCATATCTTTTCTGCACGCATGTAGCTTGGAAACTAGAAGGATCTACGTCTTAAGAAGGGAAGGGCCGTGAACTGCACTGAATTATTTTCAAGATGGCTGCTGCAGTTTGGAACCCCATACAAATGTGGAGCACTCCCTTTAATTGACCGCGCGAATTCCGCCATTTAATCAGTCGCCGGAGCATCACTCCCAGTCACATCATCTGGATCCTGACGGACCCTGACGGCTCCCGGCCCCCTGGTGGGCGGAGGATTACAGGGCTGCGAGGAAAATAGCTTTCAAACGCTGTTTTCAATGTTCATCGCCGTTCCGAGTTTAAGCACGTGAAAGTGCGTCGTTTTCTCACCAGTAACTATCCACACCGAAGAACTTAAGCGAGAAGCTCAGAAGCTTATGTTTATGATATTCTACACATTTTCACACGAATGAGTCGAAGACTGCACTCAGTACAGGGCGGGCGTTGGTATCATCTCGAGACTCTGAGCACTGCCGTCGTCGGCTTCTGTTTTTACTGCTGCATTTGTTGTCATTTCGCGCTACCTGATTGCGTTTCACGACAAACCTTTCGTCGTGCGCAGTCTTCACTGGCTCGCATGTCATGACTCTATCAACGCAGAACACGCATACGTCTGGCAACCACCTGGTGTTAGTGATCGCAAGGAAGCTGGCCATGCCGCGAGAAAGAAGGAAGCGCGTAGCTTTGGTCTGAATCTCACGTTGTGCTCGCCGGCAACGAGTCGGCAGACCAACTGCAAAGGCTCATACACGAACCTTGCGAATCCCAAAGAGTGACATGTATATCATAGCGACTAGGTACACGACTGCCATGTGACAACCCAGATCGGCCACGGAGTACAGGCAAAGCAGGCTGAAAGTGTTTGCAACCACCAGCAGGTTTCTGAACGTCAGCATTTCCCAAATCAAGCAACGAGGAGGTTGCGTTGGCTTGTCGCATCCTCTCATGTACAGGACGCACGCATTTCGATTAAACAGTGCTCAAGAATCTCCGACATGCAGGATTTGGCGGTGAACTGCTGACGGTCGGGCGCGTCCTGGCTGGCTGTACGCAAAGTTCTAACGAATGCAGCGTAATTTCGGTCGCTTCAGGTCACTGACACCACCTATAGGGATGCACCAGAAAGTCGAAAGCTTCGCAGGGTGCCGAAAATTTTCTCGGCGGGTGTTCTTTATGTGACATATTAGCATTGCAGGTGGGATAATACTGGGTGATTAGACACGCGCCCGGGTGACCCCTCGCTCGGTTGGGGTCAGTTTCACTCCAAAAGATCTCAAAAACTAAGAAAGACAGAGACAAAACATGCAGTTTAGGTTGGCCAAATGTGATCTGATTTGTGTCAAAATTTAAGATCCCTTGTTCATTATCACCGGGTCAAGTAATGTAAACTAATGTTACACTCCATAATGGCATTCATAGTCCTCATTACGTTCTCATACAACCGTCTTGAAACTGGTTACCTGTTCTAAGCAAAAGGTCACTTTTGTTCGGTTAAGGTCAATGGCCTTCTTTGACCTGTATAGGTTATCGTGACCGAAACCATTCGAGACTGGTTTTATCTATGCATTAAATAACCGTCAAGAATTACGCTAAGCGGTATGCTGCTAAAAAGAGCATGCTGACCTGGATTACCCTAGGTCAATGGCCCGCTCTGATCTTAAAGATATCCATGGAAGATGCCTGTTGCGGTCCTTGATATTAGTCATTTCGAAGGGAGCATCATAAACTCTCTCATACAACAAAACCTCGAGTAAAAAATCAGGCTTGGGTTGATCCCAGTCTGACCTTAAAACCCAACCCTAGGTCAATGGATTTGCTGCAATCCTGAATTCCGATGTTGTATTGCTTCAAAAGCCATTCCAGGGATGCACTGCTTTGTTTAACGGTCCGTTGTCGTATCAGATTGAACGATTTCGTAGTAATTGTCTGCTGACAGCCACGGCCTGACTGACCTGTCAGAGATCAGCGGCCTTACAAGACACACTCATTTTTATACCAAAAAGTCCGCCATTCGGAACTTATCACATTCACGTCGTTCGGAAATTATTCTGGAAATACCTTGGGGTTGAAACTGACTCCCACCCAAGCGCGTGCTTAGTTTACTGGGGAGCGCGAGACAGCCTTGACGGCTGATGCGCACGCAAAACCAGAAATCGCATTATCATACATTGTCTAGGACAGTTGCACAGACGATCCAGGCGATTAAGGCAATACATTTGTGTCCAAGTTACGTGACAAGCTACAGACAATTGTTTGGCAGCAGCAGATGTCGAAATTGTATGCTCTAGGTACTAAATGATACCCAAATGTATGTTCTCTTCACACGGTGAAAGTTCGTAGGCATTCGTTGGCGGTTGTTGGGATTGACAACAGCCTGCGGCGAACAAGGGGGCGGTCGGCATTGCTGAGTCAGCGGCCGCTGCTTCTGTTGGTGTTCGCTCTTCTGTCGCCGCGGCGGCGGCGGCTGATGTGGCCGTTCCAGCAGTGGAGCCTCTTCCTGGGACCAAGGGAGCTCGCATCGACAGGGTCAGGTTACCCTCAGCGCATGTTCCCCGTTTTTTTCTTCATCTTTCTTATTGGTCCATATTTATTGATCAAAAATCTATATCAATCGAAATAACACAATAGTGTAAATTTGATATGAAACGAGAACAATAGACAGCAACTTCACAAATGCATTCTGCGGAATTGGAAGAAGAAGAAAGCAGCTCCATTATATAATTTCCACGAAAATAATTCATCGTCCCACGTATGCAGTGAACATTTGACGCTTGCAGCGGCGTGTGCCCCGACAGGTCGTCAGTGACATTCGGACGACATTTACCGTGAACAACGCCGACGCACGGCGCTGCGGTGTGTCACACACACTGTCATGATAACGCAGTTAAGCACTTGGGCAGCTCGTTTGCGCAGTGCCGGATGTCAGGCCACGATGAAAGCACGACGATTTTTGACGCGAAAGGCAGCCTGAAATGATACCAGTAAACAGCACCACTGCAAAAATAAGTAGCCTTGACGTTTTTTGCTATCCACACTCTTCAGGCAAGCAACAACTTCATGTGCTTAGGTCCGGGGTTTGGTTTTATAAATGCCATTGAGAGGCCGAAAATGGATTTCACGACAAAGTTTTTGTGAGTTTTTGGGTGGCCCCTCTTTCCAATGTGGAGCTAGGGGCACGAGCCGAGACGAACAACGCACGATACGATGGACAACGGATTAAAATGATATCATGAACTACGCACGCCCTGAATAACGCACGTGCCAGCCCGCAGTTGCACCGCCGGCGCGGAGAATGGGCGACCACTGCGCACGGCGCCCCACCTTTTGTGCTTCATACGTCAGTCAGGACGTGACGCGTCGAGGTTGCCGCCAGCCGTCAGCGCCGAGCTCGCCACTCGCTGTGCCACACGGTGCGAGGCAGGACCGGCACCATGCTCCTCGCCAAGGTCATCGCCCTGTGCTTGGTCTCAGGAGTCCTGAGTCAGGGCAATCATGGTGGACATGGTGGCCACGGTGGCCATCATGCCCAGGGTGCCCCGGATGCCCAAAATGTCCGCAGAGGTAAGCACAGTGAGTAGTTTGACGGCATATCTCTTGAAATCTCGGGGTGCTTCGTGCCGCGATTGGAGACTGCGTATCAAGCCGCTACCAGCGATTTGAAACCGCTTCTTTCTTGAACTCAACCCGCGTCAGCCGACTGAAGTTGTCCCCATTCTTAATACCTTGACGATGACCCTGCCACCTAGCAGCCAGAAGGAAATCCAACTGAAAGCTGTCATCAAGGTACTTTTTGCGCATTGCACTTTGCCGCAGCAAGCGGCAGCTTGCTGAATGCATTCTGGCCGATGACTCAGCAAGAATAACCAACAAAGACCTCATTTATTCTGCTCCATATTGCAGTAGCTTATATGGGATTACTATCGAAAACATTGCACAACGGTGTCGTTTTGTAACATTAGTGGGGCTCAGAAGCCTCAAGGTCCTTTCTAATCATACATCACCATAACCGTAATGCTAACATGCCGTGACGCATTGTATATAACTGATTTAGCATTACTGTGAACCCGGTCTCACAGAAGGACATAGACGGCAATTATTGCATTACCCACCCGAACAGTGCTGCACCACATCACCTATGACTGCCGTGTGATAAGCTCACGTTCCACTCGTCTCGAAATCTCCTCAATTTGCCAACATTTACATCAAGACGTCTCATCCCCGTCCCAAGACTTCAGATCACGTTTAGGGCTGAGTAAGAAGCGCACCAGTACGTTTTCGTTCTGTGCTAAAAGATGAAGGGGCAGGGAAAAATGGGAAGCTTGGGACGTTGTCGTTTCTGGAAAGTCAGAATATTTGTGACGTCACGAGAAAAAGATAAACAAAGACCACTTGCGAGCAATTTGTTTGCAGGGTCAGTTGCTGGCAGTGTGAGTTGTTAGCAGTCAGTTGCTATGACCTGGGTTATGTTACTTTTACTATCTATGCCCATTTCATTTGTTTACTGGTGAGCTGGGCCACTGCCGCCTCTGGAGCCGGTCCGACAGTTCGTACGTCCGATCCCACTGTCGCCTATGGAGCTGGTCCCACAGCCCCCGCGTTCGGTCCCACTGCCGCCCCCGGAGCCGGTCGCACAGCCCGTACGTTCAGTCCCACAGACACCTTCGGAGCCGGTCCCAAAGTGCGAAGTCCAGTCCAACTGCCGCCTCCAGAGTCGGACCTACAGTGCGTAGGTCCGGTCCCACCGCCGCCCCCGCAGCCGGTCCCGCAGACCGTACGTCCGGTCCCACTGCGCTGGGACGCCGAGGCGACGCGCGGCGCCGACGACGGCAGCGTTTCATATTTCAGGGCTGATGACAATGCTTTTGAAATGGATATCGGTCGCATCATTGCAGTCAAAAGGTGCAGATTAGTGAATGCCCCCCCCCCTCTCCAAAGATGAATAAAGGGGGCGAAACCAACACCAGGTTCGGCTGGAAGAATCGCAGACCAAATCCAACCGTCTGCACAGCTCCAGTTCCAGTAATGAGAGCAGCGTCAGGTATCCTGATCGGGAAAGCGGGCGTTATGTTTGCAAAGTGTCGGCTATAGCATACGGGGCTCATGCCGACGCAGCCAAGACAGCGGAACTTCGCTATTGCGGCTGATCATTAGTGTGGGCGAAAGCAGATGCTTATAAGAGGAGTAGCTAGTTAATCCCTTCTTTTCCCAAAATTGTGTTTCTGTCGCACTGATCTTGAATACTGGCCTTATGTTGGGGCATGGAAGTGGGTCGCCCTCCACTTTATGAAACCTAGTCGCCCATAATGCGTGGTAATATGTTTGTGCAGGTACCGAGAGTGAAATGTGCCGTGTCCTTTCGGCATGGCCATATCCTACGTTCCGTGTTCACTGAAATGCTGTGTACTGACGCTTGCGTTGAACTAATTTATGAATATTGCCAGTTTTTCCGAGATGAGTTTCCCATCAATTGACCTGTCTCGTCAAGCTGATCACAAATACGCATTGCGTGTCTTATTTTTATCAAAAATAGGGAAGCTGTTTAATCTACCAGATAGGCGCTGGTAAGAGCGCTATATAGTATGTGGGCTGGTACAGGCTGTTTATATATTTTGAAGGCATATTTTAAAAAGCTGAATACTCTGCTATTTCGCACCAAATCATTGCCAACTCAACCTGTTCTGAAAAGGACGACGAACCTCAATGGACACGCCTTCGAAGGTCACGCACTATATGTTAGGCTTGCTTTTGGACTTTGCTTCCCCCTATGCGGCATGCCTGGCTTAAACTGGCGTGCTCACGGGTGCTGCACAACAGCGGACACCATAACACAAAACGCGCAAACGCGACAGCAAAAGGATGGGTGAATCTTTGCCTGACTAACCAAGAAACCGTACAGTTGCACCGTTGGTAGTCTACGTGTTAGGTAGGAAGCGATCATGTGCCCCTTGTTGTTGCAGTGTAGACTTCTTAAGTATGTTATCGTTTTCATTGCACATGCTTCTTTTATTTCAACAATCAACTCTCAGTTTGTCAATGCAAAGTTCTGCATTTCTTTCATGCATGCAGGAATGTTTTTCCAGGTGCATACATCTTTGACACCTCTGTCACTATGATTTCTCTGTTGTTAAAATGCTATAGCTTGTGATATCATGCTGCGAGGTACATGTCTATAAGATGATGCAACCATGTTATGACCCGGTGCTTTTCTCATGACACCACATCTTTCGCGGTATGTCGCAGCTAGTTTGACATCTGGAGGCAAACCGTTCACCTTTGCCCTACGTAGGGCCTCAGAAGCCCAACAAGGTTTTTACGGTATTATTTTCGAACGGTTTTTAGCACATCGCTAATATTTGGGACAACTGAGTATACATAACTGCTGTGCATTCTGTAAAAAATTGAAATTTCTGGCCTTAATGGTGCATGATTTATGACTTTTTTGGCTTATGTCAGTGATGTTTTACGCAGGAATGACAAGCAGCGTTCATCGTTTGCGGGAAATGCGATCAAAGAGGTTATCTAGATTCTTTTTACCGTATCACTTAAGTGCATTATCGTTCCGTTTACTTTTGTAAGGCCG